AATTCAGAATCTGAGATCGGAAATGTTTTGTTCCGACCCAACACTTCAGTACTCGCTTTTTCCACCAGCACTCGTGCTATGCTAGTTGATTTACATACACACTCGTGTCGCCCCAACATTCGATTTCTATGTCAAACCACCGATCTCCGCTCGACCCCAACCCCGAACTGCCTTCTGCTCCTTCTTAGTCTTCTCTCTGCAGAGCTATGCACGCAATCCCATCTTTCAGCTCCAGAACATCATCATACAGCGAAATACAGAGAAGCGAACTTCACTGATCGCTGACAAACTCACAATATGCCTATCCATTGGGGTTTGATGGACGGGTACTGCTGGAGTGTCAAACCATTAAGCACCATCACTCGGCAAGAATCACATTCGCCTTTGTTTGACCACGTATTCCATTTACTGTTAATTAGCTGTCAGTCATTGTAGTACCACTCGGTCAATTACTAGCGTGTTAAGTTCAACGGGTCCCATCAAATTCTGTACTAATGTTTCCATTTAGTACCGGTTATGGATGACTGGCAATCAGTTGCCTGTTTACGCTGTCACCAAACCCTGTCCGTTATTGAGGAAATAAGTACACAGAAGTTAATTGGGAGGGTATCTATTGGTCGCCTATTGTGACTACATTGTATTGGATCATCTACCTTATATGCTGTAGAATCTCATACTGTTTGTATTTTACAATATATATGGTCACTGCTGATGGAAATGAGCAATTTCTTACCGATATATCGCTTTTGGTATTTACATGCATAGCTCCATAATCCAGATTATTACATAGTTCAAGCTGGTGTTAGATAAACGAATGCAAATTGTTCGGTTGACTGCCAGCGTATTTTCTGCACTATGTCCCACTGAGATACAAACGAAATTGAGAGCGCTGTTTTGCCCTTGGGGAGAGAATTTGTAATCCGAAGACTACCTGCCCATATAAGAGATATCCTTCGGAGAAACAGACACCTAGAATCATTTATTGAATGGCACTGAATCGGAATCGAACGACGTAAAAAATACAGATAGTCGGGGATAAGGAAGTATTCATGAATGTTCTATTAGAACGGAAGTCATCAGAAAACTTAGAACATCGTTTATCAAAGCCCATTACCTACTGTTTCCCGCGGCACATTGAGGGATGTGTGGGGTACCCGGTAGGAGTAACACCTCTGACTCGGAGGGCCATCGGGCCCTTTTTGGTATCCTACGTTCTTTGGGTTCGACCAGACATTCAGCTCTCACCTGTAGCTCCAAGCTGTCTGGATGAAACAGCAGCCACACCCTGGTACACAGCTCGACAGGCGGGCCAAACCAGGTTGAGGGTAACCGGGGGCTGAACTCCCGGCGAGTGGGTATCTAACGAATGAACACGGTACTATCGCGTTTGGTGGACGAAGTGGCTGACACGGCTCGACGGTCAAGGTAATGACTATGTACTCACCAGGGATGCATGGAGCTCTGTTCAGCTAGAAATTGTCAATGGTGAATGAACCCCTCCCCCCCTCAGAAGCCCACCGGCAACCATGTGCTGCCTTGCATCTAGCACTTGGATGTGAAAAGGCAAGAGATGCTACCTCGACCTAAAGCCGGGTGATGCTGGGGACGTTTCCTATACCTAACTCCCAAGAAATTTCATGACGTATCCCTGAAGCCGATTTAGCCTCTCCTAGGAACCAGTCGCCTAAAAGCAAGTAAAACACATTGAAGATCAAGCGACTCATCGTTCAACAGCTGAAGAAGAAATAGCCCCATCAGTCCCAATCATTTTTGTATATCAGTTTATGTATGTGGTTAACGGTTGTGAAAACTGAACATAAACTTGGAGATCGTTATATCGGACACAACAAAGCGGTTGTCTAAGGCAAAATCTTATTATCCTCACCATACAGTAAAGAGAACTTCCCTGATCGCTACCAAACGCTCAACGTAAAACTAGCGAGAATGTGTAAGGTGGACAGGAATTGCGCTTATTTCCAGGAAGGAGCAAAGTGAACCTCTATGTTCAGTACACACGGTACACAATCTAACCGTGCATACATACTTTTCGAGCATCCTAGCCTGATAAACAGCGAAAACAAAAACGCCGCTGCTGAAGGTTCGTTGCCGCATCATTCAATGTCTCCAAATGACCAGTTGCAATCTTTTTGATCCCAACTTGGAAGGCGACAGACAATTTACCTGCTATCCCTGGGCATTCCATGCTTAGTCTCCGTGACATCTGTCGACTTCCACGCAGTTTCCTCTAGCCCGGAGCGGTGCGGTAAACGACAGCTGGGCATGCGCAATACGTGGCCTAATCAGCGGAGACTACTATTCTGAATTCGATGAGCTAGCAAGTTTATCCCCAATAAACCCACAATCCACGACGGTATACCTCCAGATTACTAACCCGTTCGCTCAATCCCACATGAGTTAAACTATATAAGCGCCGATAATGAAAAACTTCTAGCTGATTGATATCTTCTACTTGCAAATTCAGGGTCTCACAACCATAAAGCAGAACTCAACAAACGGTAGCACAATACACAGAGCCTTTTGACTTCAGTGAAACGTCGCGTCTACGCTCAAGTCGTCTCAGCCCTGCGTACGCCACTCAAGCCATTGAACTGCTTGCGGTCATCTGACTTGATGCGCTACCGCTATCGGCCATGGAAAAGCAATTCACTATAACCAATTCCTGTCCATTTAGACCCAAGGCAGGACTAGGTGACACCAAATCGTGCAGTATCACTCTGGAAGTACAAAGGGTATACCAAATGGTGTAACAGCAATAGCTAGTCCATCAATGGTGCTTTGCGTGTCCTCTATACATTGGAACAGACAAACGATGTCAGCAGCATACATTGAGTCGCAGTTTTCCTCCAGTTCCCCATTCAACGCCAAGATTTTGGAGAATATCCAGTGCGTTCTCTAGTTTTTTTGTCTACGACGAAATTGAACAGGAATAGCGAAATTCAACACCTAAAATTGTCTAAAACATATCTTCCAAAAGAAACGATTAGAAACCTAAAAGCTGAATCCTGCTACTCATGGCCGACAGTGGACACATGATTGTCCTAGAGACACCGTTCACAAGTTCGCTCGCAACGCCCAAAGGAGTAAGTACATCCCAACAACTGCGGAACCCATAGCAACTAGTACTACTAAACCGCAGTAGTCCAATCAACAATTATGGCTGAAGCACTGCTGTTACCACGGGTGCTAATGACTATCTCATAATTCTCTTTCACTATCTACTCCTTTCATTTATTGACCTTCCGTTCACATTTTTACACCCGTTTTATTTATTCACCATGAACACATTATTATTCAACACAAATCTCTAAGAAGCGATGTGAAGAGCAGTTTTTGCAGTCATGTTGTTCTTAAGTAGTTCAATCGAAATTATATAATGTCATTGGGTGTGGCTATTCACCACACATTTGGAAGCAGGTCCTTTGGAAATGTTGCAGTAAGTAGTGTGTGAACGACTGGACAAAATTTGAATGGAAACATACAACCGGTTTCATGGTGATTGCTGCCCATCTAGTGTACGTATATGGTAGTCTCTCATCTAGCTATTCATATACTTAAGCCCCGGATGTATGTTTTCATCAAAAATGTTGCACTGTACTAATCTTCATCCGTGACTTGTTGGACAGATGTGGCCGCTCTAATAGCAATATTTTTCTGCTTTCACTATCCCCTCCCCCAATTAGAACGAAAATAGGAGCTAGACTAGATTGTAGCAATATTTTACACTTTGAAGGTGTCAAGAGTATACTGAATGTCCAGCAGAGCTTGCAGATTACTTGGATCTTCACTTCGCAGTACAATGTTGTCTGCATAGTTCAGACTAGACAGCCACCTGGGAGCATATCGATATTGATATCCTCGCACGAGGTCAGGTGTTCGTACAACTTAACGTAAATGTGATCCCTCGAGCACAATCAGTTGTGATTTATTAGGTTTATGGTTCACAAGAGAAATTTGTGTAGGTAGGGAAAATGACATTTATTATTACCATCATCCTTGAAGCAACGAGTTTTTCAGAGCACTAATATATGATGAGAATATATACATAACTCAATTTGTGGATGGTCTCGGAATAGAAGGAAATGAGCTGGGGGTACCGGGAAATAACAAAAGAACAGGAGGGGACTCAATCTGCACTCTGAGAAAGTTGATGTACTACCAAATCCACCTTTTGGCCGTTCGCCCAGGCTTCAATCAAACCCAGGAGCAAATTTTTCCTGTTGGAATACTTTTCTTCGTTCGATTCAACTAACAATGCCAAAAGTCGAACATAAGGGCACAATTCAGTGAAACGTGCTTTCTGATCCGGTGCTGCTGGAGAGATGTTGTTTGCGGGCGTGAACGGCTGCACTGCAGTTGTAGTCGCAGGCACGACAGGAATGAGATTAGAAAGTAAAATTCCCGTAGGTACGGTCAACTGGACCCCAGATGATACCGGAGTAGCCGTTGTAACTGAACTGGGTGAAACCGAAGCCACGGAAGCTGGGTTGTTTGATGTGACCAATGCAGCTTGAGCTGTGGTAACAGCGACAGAGCGAGTATCGATCACCTTAGGAGTGGTTGGGGTATTAGCCTTTGTTTGAAAATTCTGATTCGGATCTGCTTTCGGTCGAACGGTAATAGATGGAGTCATGTGCATTGGCGGTGGCGGAGGAGGTCCTTTTGGTGCACAACGAACATTAGTCTGGCGTAGCAATCGGCCACGTGGAAAGAAAAAGTGACTGTGTTGATTATTCGCCGCCACAATACAAAGACTGTTAAATTTGGTGCCGATCTTTAAATAGGCACGACATTCTCCTTGACGTATTCTGAAATAAAATGATGAAACATACAGAGGAAATTTTCAAACTTACGGGCCTTTACCGGGCTCTTGTGGTGTTCTAGGATTTGTGCAACGAAATGTAGCCAACTTGTAGACTAATTTATCCAACAATTCACCACTGGAGTCGCTTGATGTGAGTTTCCGAGCATCACGTAGGGTATATATACTTCCAGTTGCCTAGTGGACACAAATAGTTTTCAATGGTAATCATGCGTTTTATGTATATGTACTTCAATCGTATTCTGGGCCTAACCAGTTATTGGAAAAACAATACACGAAAGGTACAAAAGTTTAATTTACCATAGATGAGATGAATGAACAAAAGGAAGGAAAATAAAACGTCACTTCCATACAGTAAAGTTAATACAGCGATACTTTTAAATGCTAAGGAAATGTTTTGTAAACAAATGGTGGTGGACCGTTATCGACAATGCCTGAAGACCCTAAAGTTTGCATAATAGGCCGCAAATATCCGTGGAAGGCAACGTTACATGTGCAGATCGGCCTCATCAATGTGTTTATCGCCAAACGCCTTTATTTTTGCAAAAACATCTCACATTCATCACACGCTTAGTTATTGTAACCCGAGTCTTCAAATGCCAGTCAAAGAGAATCTTCATATATATATATATATATATATATATATATATATGAGATGTGATTGACCAAGTAATTCTTCCATGACCAGAGTGATTTTAGCACATTACAATTTCGGGATGCACGAAATTCTACAAAAATTATTCAAGCACAGGTGCAGAAAACTAGATAAAATGTTTTTACATCACACCGTATTGCTTACCTCCGTCAATCGTAGTCTTAGGATTCATGTTTCCATTTGGACATTACGTACACTGGTTGTTGTCGCCTCTGAAAGCCTCAAAATGCTCGGGGGTCTTTGCTTGTGACTGCTCAACATTCCGTTGCACCTTGCGAAATGTGCTCCCCCTCACACCTAGGTGTTTTACATAGCCACTGGTAAGGAAGTCCGACTAATTTACTTCATACGGTAAAGGTGCTTTTCCACCAAAGCGAAAGTAAGAAAGCAGACATCCGGGGCTATAACCGGGTGAGTGAACCAAAGACGGTTTACATAAGGGAGTTGACCAAAAACCCGGATTCCAAAACAACCACGGAGAGGTGCATGAACCAAACCCATGACTTCCTGATGCTGGTATTAGGCACTGGCTTAACTGGGTACCTTGCAAATTAGAATACGTCAAATTAGTGTATAATCTGATTAACTGGACACCCAACTCACTGCCTTCCGTGGCAGAGGTGTTTTCTCACGAAAGTGAGAGAACGAGAAGCCGGCATCCGGGGCTACAACCGGGTTGAGGACCATTGGGAGTTTACCTGGGGTAGTTGGCTAAAAACCCTGATTCCAAACCAACCAAGAAGATGCGTAAGAACCACACACACCTTTCTGGTTGGACACCAAGGTGTATTGGGCACCGTGGATGCTTGATACCATCCAAAGGGTATATGATCTAACGGACTACGGACTCTGAGCTCCGTTCTGTTGTCATACAGGTCTGGCTTTCTAGCCAAAGGCTTCGGATGGGGACCCCGAGGTTATNAATCGGGAAGTAACATGCCCACACAACATATGAACACATTCTACATTTTTCTTTGTTCCTATTTTGTGACACATTTGCCAGTTCTGTAATTAGTTACGTGTTGAAATAACTAAATGTTGATCTAGACACTCATCCCACCTCAATGGGTCGCGGTGTTCACACCGCCCAGCTGCCTTGCGGGTCAGGATATCTTACCAGAAGGCTCCGATTGTGAATCTCCTGAAGAATTTCACCCGCTTTTGCCTAGGCAACTTGACAATATTACTCCAACGAACAACTCATTTACACGGTCATTTGTTAAGAAGATTGTGACCCCTCGATTCGTCCGGAACACAGTCTGTATTCGGTCAAGTTTGAAATATATGTATGAGATGGAAGGGTGAAATCGTCTTTAGCAAACAAACTCACCTCTTCAAACTGTCTTAAGCTTTCAAGGAATGCATCATATGAATCAAAAAGCTTCCCACTGAGATATTTATCAAATTGTGGAGTGATATCCCAAGCGGGTAGTCCGAGAATAAACAAGTCTGGTGAAAGGCACAGACGTATTTGTTTTCTATCACAACTGTCCTGGGTTGCTTCTTCATAATTCTGCCTAAGTTGCTCGACATCTGCATCAGTCAGTTGCTTTTTGAATTTCTCCCACGCAAACTTTATGACGGCATTATCTTGTAACACTAATTTGGGTTCGATGGCTTCAACCTCTTCCGAGGTCAGCATATCGCCGTGATCCTGTAAAAGGTAGCCAGGAGATCCAATTTCATGCGCATGAACCAGATAATGGTTTGCCACCGCGTATGATCCATCCAACAGCAAAGAAACCTCAAAAAAGGCTTGGCATTCTGCCGGCCATGATACACTAGAAGAAATGGTCAAATTCAATACAAGGACCTACGATTCAGTAGTTGGCAATTTATCAGCAGGCAACACATTCAAGTAGCAAGTGTAACGCGCTCTTGTAACACCCCGATCTGGATGTGCAACCTGTTCCGTAATGGCATACAGAGTTTCTGTGCACTACAAAAATGTACTGGAACAATGAAAACTCACCCTCTGAAAAATTCTGACATGCTTATCAAACTCCGCGAAGGAGTCAAAAGTTTTGTCGATGAAGTAGTCTGCGAATGCCTTTGTTATATCGCTCAGCATGGTCATTTTGCAGCCAAAATCAAAGACGGCGAAAACGAATCAGCCTGAAAGGTATCGCCAGCACAATCACAGTGGGGGAGTAAAATGACGTGTGCACACGACCATCATCATCATCATCATCATCATCATCATCATCATCATCATCATCACGCAGCGTAATGCAGTGAGGCAAACTTCACTGTGTACAAGATAAGTAGAAGCACTCAGTGAAGGACCATAATGCTCTCATGAGGCAACTCTCTTGTTTTTGGCTTTCAACCAATATTTTTTCACCTGTAAACCCGAGAACCTGTTCCTCAATTGGACAGTGGCCATACCTCAGTATACCACTCGAAAGCAGAGCATTATGCTAACGGGCGCATCCCCCAAGGTTGAAGATAGGGGACCCGCCGTTAATCTGACGGCGAAGATACGGTCGTGCCGATCCGTACCGCGGAGCTGTTCAATAGAAAGCTGGTAAGGAGGAACAGCAATCCGCCAGTGATGCCACAACTAAAGTTTGTGAATGAGCGGAATGCACGGTACCTGGTAGAAAGCTTTGCAAAACTAATAAAGACTTGGAAGTTTGTCCTTTGATATAGGGACGGGTTAAGCTGTCAAGCACGATCAGCATATTGGAGATGCACGTCCTGTCCGGAAAACCACGTTGAGAAACACCCACTAAATTGTTATCAGTTAGATTCTTTATAATACGCTGATAAGGTTGATCAACTATAGCTATTAGGGAGATGACGATTAGATTTTTGTAGATTGTAATTGCAGTTGCTTCTTTACGAACGCCGTGGTGGTTTTCCCGTGTCGGAGGACTACTGAAAGAACTGAGTGTGTCTGCCAAGGCGTTATAGATTGAAGCTCACCTCCCCGAAGAGGAAAAGAAGAGGGACCGAATTGAGGCGTTCGAACTCCCAAAAAGTTTCGACGACGTTGGAAAAAAAGGAGACCTCTACTACCTTTTAATGAGAGCCCAATCCTAAGGGAAACTAACCTTAAGTTAGCTAAGGTCAGGGTATCCAACCGAATAAGGCAGAAAATGTCTGTCATAAGTGGGGTAAACGAGTGGAACAAACATCCCAGTGAAGTCAATTCCAGTTTGAAGTAGGGTTTTAAGACCCGCCTGGACTCTGCATGAGAAGGCCTTTTCACCTAAGAAACCGCCTAAGCAACGTGACTGTCCGGCAGGGTGGTAGTGGCGCAGCGGTTTAATCGCTGTCACCGACGTGCTTTGGACCCTATGGTCCCAGGGTTCGAGCCCCGCCACCGCCACCCGACGTTGGTGGTAGGTGGTTCCTTTGTCGTCCAGTTCAGTACCAAGCCTAACCTATAGAGGCCTTAGGTGGTTCGCCACTCCAAGTCCCGGGTCTTGGGTTGCCGGTTTCCACCACTGAACCTCGTGACTATGCAGTTCGCCCCGTTTGGTGCCCGTCACACACTGGTGTATAATAAAAAAGGCTTTATTCCCCCCCCCCCCCCCAAGCTGCTCTTCTCCTCCCTCGGACTTATTCTCACTTCACTCTCCCTCCTTATCCATTGCCGTTATCTTTTATTCACTATGCTTCATCCCGTCCATTATTCTTCGATCACAAACACTGCCATTAGAACTCCCCAAACTATTGGCCTGAGTTTTAACTTGGCCGATGCCAGTATCAGGGTCTGAAGCCTGATCCATAAGGTGTGGTCGCAATGCGGCGCGGGAGTGGATCAGCACCTACCCCTTCTGACGTTTTTGATCGCAACATTGAAGTCATCACCCACTTCCATATGTCGCAGCATCGGGGTTCTCAGGAGCCAACCGCTGCAAGAAACTGGACTAACTGGCACACAGCCGTCAATTTCTTGGAACTGAACTGAATCTTTCCGAGTACGCCGTTGGAATCTGTCTAGTGCCGTTGAGCCATAAGTGTTGGAGCGATATATTTGTTCTTCCAGTACTGAAACTGTTTTCATAAATCTTTTAATTTGGGAGGTCACTAAGTTAGGGATTGCGGATTAGCGTGGCAGATGGCAGGCATGTTGAAATTTTGTTACAAAATATTTCCACCAGTCCTTAAGATATAGTGGCTGCGGTAGAACCAGTAACTTTAAGATGAGGTTTTCATTTTGACATGAACACAAACAAATATATGCATACACATTGGATGCTACGTACTTGGGGGATGCAAAAAAACGATACAAATTTAATAACAAAATCCAAAACTAAAACACAAAAA